AATATACAGCCTTTTGCACAAATTATGAGACATTTTTATATATATAAATATACCTAACCAAATATCAAAAACACCCCAGAAATTATGGTATATCTCTATTATATTTTGTCATGATTGCCTAGCATCAGGTTGTTACAGACAAAATATCAGCGACGGTATCCCATAATTTCTTGGGTGTTTTTGATATTTGGTTAGGTATATTTATATATATAAAAATGTCTCATAATTTGTGCAAAAGGCTGTATAATATTTATATATATATTTTTCTATTTCCATTTCTATTTATCCTTTTCTTTAGCTTGTAATATGCCGTAATTCAGCCCTTTGGCTGCAAAGGTATTTTTAATAAAACTATCTATCTATCTACCTGTATATATCGACTGAAATTTTCAGCTCCTTGATTGGCTCATTCACAGGTCGGCGCATGGCGCAAAAATATATGTTAATTTATTACAAACAATAGCCGTACTATCCAATTAACTGACATTATGAGTTACATCTTTCATGTCAAAGGTGTATTTATGATTATTTAAAAGTCTCACTACATCAACGATGGAAGGAAAACTTAATTCGCGGTTGTCATTTAACAGGCTTTATCATTACCAAGCAAATTATATTAATTCAAAGATAAATACTGTCAAGGAAGTTGATTAACCTTTTTTGTTGGCATTTGTTATTATTAACAATGCTTCAGGCAATACAGCGCATTTGATCGTTAGATCAACAGCAGCGTTCCCTTACAAAGCAAGGATTGGAAAATAAGAATTCTATTTAAGTTAAATAGAATTCTTATTTTCCAATCCTTGCTTTGTAAGGGAACGCTGCTCATTCTATATGTCTTGGTTTTATATTGATTATACTTTCTTCCTTTCTCTTGCAGCTAAATTCTTTATTTGGTTTTACTATGTATAGCTGTCGCATCGTTTCTGGGCACCTGTTGTTTTATAACCCAACTTCTTTGCATCTGCAAGTGGCGTTTTGTTTGTGTCTTCAATTTGTGCATAGAATATTCCCACTCCACTGCCTTTATACGCTACTGATTCAAATAGATTCAATAGATCATTTATTTGCCCTTTTCTTTAACTCAGATCTTACCTCCTGTCATGCAGGAGCGAACGACTTCATTCTTCGTTTTCAGGACGTCATGGTCTGGAAAATACATTTTCCCTCAAACTTCCCTCAAACAAAATTCAATTGATCCACGTGAAAGAGCGAGTAAAACTCTGAATCTCTAAAAATTGTTTCGCCGAATCGAATTTTTTGGGGGCAAGATATAAGCAATCTTCTGTGGTCCACCAGAAATTAAATGGCAGCTAGCTTATTAAGAACGTAATTTCGAGCACAAAGTAGCAAATATATCTTACTTTCACWACAATTAGCAATTCTAAATATACATTAAAACAAAATCTATGACATAGATTAATTTTAGATGATTTCCATGGCTTTTCAGGCTGTGGCCAGCCGTTGTGTGCATGACATTGACGTTGTRTGCATCAAATACACATTATTCCAAAATGGCTGACTAGCCCTTGATGTCGCGTTTTTATAAAATTATTCTTTTGTCTTTGAGCTTGAGTGACTTTAAAAGAAAAAAGCAATTTCATGAAAACGAGACATCAAGTGCTAGGTCAGCCATTTTGGAAAAAGGTGTATCAAAGTCAGATGTAAGTTCAACAATCATTCCCTCGAAATATGTACAGTTTCAAACACGAGATAGAGTAAAACAGATYACAACAGCCATCGCCATCAGCAATTGTATTTTTCTTTATGCGTATTCAATGTGGGATGACAAGAGTGCTTTGTAAAGTGATTCGCGCATGATCAGTTGGCCCCATTTATCTCAAAACTTATATTTCTCCAAAAATTTTAACGACTTTGAGTTTCAAATTAGTGTTAGAGTTTTTAAGCAGTTTAAAACACTCGAGATCGTATTTTGAACTCTACATATCACTTGGTTGGTAACTGTAAGAAAGAAAAATTCACGCCAATATTGTCGAGAAATTCGAGCTCCCTTTCTAACTCGAAATATTGCTTCCTAATCCGACAAATGTGTCTGCACTGGGCTGCTTTTGACCTTTTCGTCAGAAGTTGTGGATGATATCTGAAGGCTTTTACCAAGCTCAAAACCAAACTGGCGAAGTGTATATTTTACACTTACGATATACCGTTAAGACCGAGCAAGCGATTTTAATGCGTTTATTATATGGCTTTTATATGGTAGATTAAAACAAACTCCCACAAAAAAAGGTAAGAAAGAAAAACACACACGCACAGCCCCCCCGTCCCTCTTACTGCGCATGCTCGACAAAATACACGAGTGCCGGAAGCCAGAATCAGGCTATTTCACACATTAGCAGTAGAAATTTTCGTGTTCCAGAGAAACTGTTTTTCGTCGAGTTTTGGGCAGTAAAATGCCGGGGAAGGGGCGATGGGTACTAGACTGACAATAGACTTAAGGAAGGGATGAAAAAGAGAAATGACGGGACTTTAATTCTTTGCTTTAAAAATCCCTCTTAGCTCAGCTAATGCTTTTTCGTGCTATATGTCGATGCACGCTTGATTTTACTCCTTTATCTGTTTTTTTTTTGTTCTCAGCTTCTGGTTCCCCTAATGTAGCAGTGTGGACCAGTCWTTTGGGTAGAGATACCTGGCCCCTTTACGTACGACTGTCTTTTGCGATATGACACAGAATAATAAAAACAGGTACGTTTTGTCTAGAGTTGCGTTTTTTAATTTCACATTAARGATAATTGTGTAACTTGATAATATTAAACACAAGTTGTTACRTTTCAAAATTAAGGGTAAAGCCGATCAACACTACATAACCGAGAGTAATACATGTATATTTTCCATTAACACTAACAGCATTTCAAAGTCAAATCAAGGAAAACCAATCTGAAAAAACATGGACCCATTTTCTATGAAAATAATACTAAGTTACACTATGATCAATGTTGCTTAAATGTATATTGGCTTTTTCTTAGACAAGTATTSAAAAACTTCATCAGCACTAAACCGACGGKACTTCAGTGCACAAGTTAATGGATGGCGAATAAGGAGAACATTGGAAGTTTCTTCCTTCTTCCTGGCACAAATTGGCACAATCGATATCTTTTTGGCAAAATTTATTGCAACTTCTCTTCTGTACTCTGTCCTAAAAGAAAGAGAGCAAGTATCAACATACGTGGATTGCAAAGTCTACCCGGAGTATAAGAGGCTGCTGGATTTACGTTAMGTTCTTTCTATTCATAGCCTACTTAGGGCATCCCGAAGTAGTTGCTTTTCCGGACCACGTTTATACTTCAAATAGAAAATGGGCTTCTTAAGGACAAGATGTGAAATGTYACCAAACGTAATGTGRAAGATGTAATATTCAAAGAAAACTTTTTGATGTTTTTGAACTGTGGAAAAGAAGGAAAAGTAGCGGTGTCGACTTGTCGCTGGTAA